TTGAAGGATAACATATGACTCATGGTAGTGGATTATTTAATGCAGATGAAATTTATGGTCAAAAAAGGAAAGGGGTTTTGGTGAGTTGTTTTGAGTCTTATCTTAATCTTCTATTACCTGTGCTTAAGGTGATTTTTGATTAAATGTTTGTTGATTCAGGTCACCAACAAACATTTTCCAAGATGAATTTTCAAATTTGAAGCTTGACCGTATATGTATAACTGTATGGGATTTAGAATAAATGACTTATAATAAGTAATGTGTTAAACAATTCCATTGCATCTAACTGCTATAAATTTTCTCTTTTTTATGGAGATCATATGAGTTATTTTCAGCATACTGCTTGTACTAGATGCCTGAGTGGTCTTTTCATCTGCTTTTCTGTTACTTGGTTTCCCAAGGGATTTGTGTGTGGGGTTGGGTTTGGGTTTTTGTGGGGTTTGCACAAGTTCTTTGATAACAGGTTGCCTAGTGATATTTCATGTTCAAATTCTTGATAAAAGTGTCTTCCATACCATATACTGGGATCTATTAGGAACGTTGCTTCCATTGAAGGGAAAGGTTTTGTGCTAAACTGAGGCTGGCGTGGTGGTCTTCTAGATATCTAAGTTTTTTTAGACTTTATTTTAATTTGAGTGTTTTAATATATCATTTTCCCCGCAGATGTGTTGAGGAATTGATTTACTCAATGTAAGCAAAATAACTACTCTTGGTTGAAGCGCTGGTAAGTTGTTGCTCCTAATAACATTTACTTTATAGCTTTTTAAAAAAAATATGGCTATAATGTTTTACTTACTGAACTTTTTGACTGAATACATCTTGGAGTTCCCTAAACTATGTGTGTGCACATGTGCGCGTTTTCTAAAAGGCTCACTTTGAAGGACCACAGCAGTGTTCTTGCTGGGCTCTTAGGGGGAAAAAGAGTTATGCTTGGATAGTACTCTCAACCTGTCTTGCTTAAGAAAAGCTTTCATATCTAGTTGTACTTGAGTCTTCTGCTTCTTTGACTTGACCCTATACTTCTTTGAGAACTACTAAATCATACATATTGCTTGTTCAGAAGGGTTTGATATGCAAATATCTGTCACTACAGAGGAGTACTACACACTTACGATATAGATAGCAAAAGGTGTGGAAAGTCTTAGCAGCATGAATTTGTTTTGCAAGCATCTTGTATTGTCCTTTTATGCTTCTGTTGGCATCAGAGAGGATCTTTGAGCATGTAGTAACTGTCTTCGTAGAACTACTTCTGTGACTGTTCTCTGATGTTTCAGTTTGTTTTGATTCAGTGTTTTAACTTTGCAGAAGATGGTACATAACACTGATACAGTTTACCTTACTAAACTCTTAGCTTATAGATCTCATTTAGGAATCATTCTCTGTATAGTCAAAATACAAAATAGGCAGGCTTGAGTAGAAAAATTCATTCAGTTCTACCGTACTGGATGAATATCAGTTCTACCATACTGGATGAACATGGAGAAAGGATTGTCCTGAGTTGCCTTTTCTAAAAGGAAATCAGTTTTGATAACCTTATGCTGCCTCTAGCACATTCTGTGACTCTCTTGGGAGTTGTCTCTGGAAAGACTCAAGTTCTCTTGTCTTCCTGTCTGTTTAAAATTCAAACTCCTTGATCCTACACCTTTAATTAGGGCATCCGTCGCATTTTGTATACATGAAGTGACTTTTTTCAGTGAAAGTTCTGTATTCCTGTAGAACTGTGCTTCAAAATCTTTTTCTTTTTTTTTTTTTTAAAAAGGCAGTTTCTTAGACAATTCTTTCAGTTTGATATGCTACCTGATTGAGTAATCCCTTCTTTAGACTGCAGACAGCTTGAAAGAATGTTTGTTCAAGAGTCAAGTGTTCCGTTGTTTCAGTGGCTAGAAATTGAAGTGATTTTAACTGTTTTACGACTATTATGTTAGTAGAGAACTCCAGCAAACATGCTTA